ACATGCACAAGGTAATATGATTTAAATAAGGTATGTTAAATAATTATAATATGTTTTATTTATTTTATATTAATGAGAATGAAATTACTTTATTGTGTAGGGCATTATAGCGGCAAGGGAATCGGTTTTTCCAAATGCACGCCATCGATTTTGTGCACGACACATATATGCTAATTGGGCTAAAATTTATAAAGGTGAAGAATATAAAAAGAGGTTTTGGGCTATAGCAAGAGCTACATGGCAAGCTGAATTTGAGTACCAAGTGCAGGAGCTGAAAAAATTGTCAAAGCAAGCATGGTTAGATTTAGTAAGAATCCCTCCAATGTACTGGTGTAAGGCTTTTTTTGATGAGGATACCTACTGTGATGTTGTGGACAATAACATGTGTGAGTCTTTTAATTTTTGGATTATGGAAGCAAGGTACAAAGCCATTATTAGTTCAGTTGACACTATGAGGGAACAATTGATGGAAAGGATTGCCGAGAAGATGTCATCCTCTCATAAATGGAAAGGGGACATTGCTCCAAGGGTGAAGACAAAGTTAGGGAAGAATAAGAATGAATCCTCTGAATGCAAATTGCTTTGGGATGGAACCTCTGGATTTGAAGTTAAACATAAGAATGATAGACATGCCGTAGATCTACAAAAAAAGAACTTGTACATGTAGAAAAAGAACTTGTACATGTAGAGCATGGCAGCTGAACGGAATTCCTTGCCCACATGCTATTTGCTGCATGTTTCATGAGAATCTAGATCCTAAAGATTTTGTGGTTGACTGGTATAGGAAGGGTAAATATCTACAATCATATAATTTTCCTATTAAGGCCATGTGTGGTGATAAATCTTGGCAAAAATTCCATGGAGATCCTGTTAATCCTCTTGCAATTACAACTAGGCCTGGAAGGCCTAAGAAAAATAGGAGAAAAGCAAAAGATGAGCCAAAAAAATGTCCGAGTCTAAAATGTCTAGGAGAGGAAGGATTATGACTTGCTCCTATTGTAAACAAGAAGGACATAAAAAATCAGGATGCTCGTTTGTAACCAATAATGAGGTTCTTTTTCTCTATTCATTTGTTTGTTTGCTTATTACTCATTTACCTCTTTAGTATCTAATTAGATCACCCCTTTTTTTTTTTATGTAGACCCCTACAGCCATTGCATCCTCAAGTCAAACAAGAAAAAAGCGACCATCTGCTACATACCATAGGAAGAAATCAACTATAATCTATTTCCTAATATTACTTAATTATTTATACATTTTAAATTTACCAAAATTTTCATGCATATAATAACTTGGTGATTTCAGGGTAGGGAACAAAAGAGAAGGAATGATGTGGGACCAGCAGTTGTAACCCTGAACATCTCACAATCATCTGTGGTTAATTCAATTAACAGTGCCCCTATAACAGATGTAAGTGAGTTTCATTTAAATTTTTTTAAGGTGTTATTGCATTAAACTAACAAGAACAACTTTTTAAACTTAGGTTGCTGCTTTAAATCTACCATTACCAACACCAACAACACAGTCATCTCAAACCAAGAACAAAGGTAAGGCCAAGGTCGCCACTGCTGGAAAGCAAAAAGGAAAGAAAAAGGAAAAAGGGTTTGACATTTTCAGAAATGATGTTACTGGTGAAATTATGTTGGATGTAAGTATTGGAAAGTAGCTAATTAAATCCATTTGTTTTGTTCTTTTTATTTTTAATTTGTGAGAAAAACTGACTTCATTTGGTTGCAAAAATTAATTTAATTTCTTGAAAATTTTGCATTTATAGCCTGGAATGCCTACTGAGTGGAGAATTAGAGATGATACAAGTGCAGCTGCAATTGTCCCAAGGGTTTCTCATGAAGCAATTTCTACTAATGTAATTCCAGCAACAACTTCAGGTGCAGCCCAGTTTGGAGACTCAAGAAACATTTTTGTTGTTCCTCCTTCAGGAAATGACATGAGTCTAAGCAAGGAAGACAACTTTTGGACTGCCTTTTAAGTAGAAAGTTACTATAATTATAAATGTTATGTATATTTTTTGGTTACTAAAGCAGTATACTAAGCCATTATTAGTCACTGTAGATGCTGGCTCAAAACTTGTATTTTTTTGGTTGCCAAAGCAGTAGACGTTCGAATTTAGTTACTGTAGATGCTGCCTAGAAACTTGTAATTTTTTTGTTACTAAAGCAGTAGACTTTGGAATTCAGTTACTATAGATGTTGGCTAGAAGCTTGTTTTTTTTTTTTTGCCAAAGCAGTAAACTTTGGATTT